TATGCAGTGCAAGTCCTGAAGCGGCAGGTGCTGAGGACCCTGGTGTGGCCGGAATTGATGCTGTGTGTAGCATAAATCCTGGAGTACCTTGCGGTAGATCTCAGAGCCTCTTGGAGTTGATCCAAGGCTGGGGTGGGGAGGTGAGTGCCTGCGTGCATGCACATGCATGCCCCAGCCCAACAGGGCAGTCTGTGGGGGAGGGAAGGGGCGGGGCTAGATCAAGGCCCCCACAGTGACAGACAGGAGTAGGGGTAAGTTGAGCAGAGCCCTGGTTGGGTGGGATGCGCCCCCAAATAAATTTTTACTCCCTCTGCCTCAATCTGCCCTTCCCTGCCCACAGACTTACTTGCTGCGGGGGTGGAGGCATGCCAGCATATAGGAGATCTTGGGTTGCTTTTAAATGCCAAAGGTGACCTCCTACTTAAAAAGGTTGAAGACCATTGAGCTACAGTGAGTGCTGTGCTGCACAGCACACTGCACGCAGTGGCCCCAGTAGCTGGTCCAGAACTGTACCACATGCAGCCCCTGCTCCAGTCAGTCTAAGACCGGTATTACATGTGGCACATGCGGGCACCGTGTGCAGCACAGGCCCCAGACTGATGGGAGCAGAGCCACATGCAGGGCATGTCCTGGAGACCCTGGAGCAGGCTCCATGTGCAGTGTAGTTCCCAGGGTGGCTGGAATGAGCACTGGCTGAAGCACAGTTCTCAGGCCCTGCCTGCGGAAACAGTTTGGGTCAACTCAGAGTGGGGGCAACACAGGGGGCTGCAAAATGGGGCTCCAGGGGCCAGATTCAGCCTGTAGGCCATATGTTTCACACACCGGAGTTAATCTATAAAGTGCAAATCTACTCTGACTTCAGACTAACGCAGCTCTATCCTCCGTCTTCTTTCAATCTTACCTCAATATAACTTTCTTAAAGAGAAAGTTTCTCCCTTTATACTTTGACCTTCCTTTCCACTGCTGGCTCTATTTCTCTTTCTTTGGTACCCCTACCCCTTCTAAATACTCACTAACTGGCTGCTCCCCTTCCCCTTTTCATAGGTCTCATTCATATTGTCCTAATTCTGCTCTAATGACATTTATTCTAACCTTGTCTCTTACTCCACCTGGTCCTCTTCATTTTTAACATGCATCTTTGCTAATTCCTCCAACTACCATTTCTAAAAATTTGCTCATACGTTTCTTCTTTCATCTTCTCTCCTCATCTCTAGAAGGTCTACTCCATATCCATATGGATGTATCCTATTAAAATGATCACAGCCATTTATGACCTCTGCATATCTTACTCCCTTCAGCATCTGGCTCTACCAGAGATATATAACTTTTCATCTACTAATGCTTCTGCAGTTAGTCATTCTTACTCTTTGCCCTGAACCAGATCAGTGTAGGCACAAGTTTTTTTCAATTCTCCTGCACCTGTCATTTTCAATACCCAAATCTCTTCCCCTTCCCACTGTTTTTCCTCTTTTGAAGACTACTGCATTCAACTCTTTCTCTCCTCTCTCCTTTCATGTTGCTGTTATCTACCAGCCACCAAAACAGCCTCCCTCTCAGACCCTGGCTCCTGGCTTTATCACTTCCCCTCTCCTCCCATTTCCCACAACTTCAAATCTCACTCTTGATGACTTCAGCTTCCATGCTCAGAGTATGTTAGGCCTGTTCAACAGCTACCTCAAAATCAGGCTAATATTGTCTTCTATGAGTGCTGACAGTGTTGACTCTGCTGGGGCCCAGCCCAATGAACCATATGGTAAATCATGAGCTTTTTGGCTTTAGACTAATATCATGCATAGTTTGTACTATATATAAGTAGATACAATAGTGTTGCTTAAAAGTGTGCTTATGGAGCACCTGTGCTAAAACCTGCTGCAGTTTCAAAATAGGTAACCTGCATCAATTCTGGATGAACTAAGTCTATGGGTACCTATAATAATTTACCTATAGGCAAATAACCATACAATGTTTATTTTAAGATGTTTTCAAATTTGCCACTCACTTGCATCTGTTCAGGATGAGTAGGGTCTGACAGTAAGAAAAGGGGAGGGGGAAAGAGGCTGCTGGGAAAAGAAGTTGCGGGGCTGGGGGTGGGGGCTACCTGACACACCAGATTTATTTCCCCTGCTGCAGCTGCTGTATTTTCCCTGCAGGGGACAAACTCAAGGCAAACTTGCAATAATTAGATTGCATACCTGGACACTTTTAACAAATGTATACATTTTCCATATATAGAATCTAAGGATTGTCCGGTCATCTTACATTCAGTTGCCTTATATTTGAGTTACTAGAGAAATGCTCTCTATACTTTGCCCTTCCTCCTTCTCCCATAGTAAAGCCTGACTTGCCAACCCCAAGCCTGGCTCCTCTTCAGTATATAACTTTTCTGCTCCTCCTTGTGCCCCACAGCCTCTCTAGCTAGAACCTTACAAGACTGATGTTTTCCACTATAAATCTATTTTTTTCTCCTTCATTTCTGCCATCTTAATGATTTAAAAACTCTACATCTCCAACCTAATTCTATTCCATGTCCTCAAACACAAGTGACTTTGTTTAACTCTCCCAGCCCTATACTAACAGCTGCTTCCAATTCTCTCATTATATATGAGGAAAAAAAACTGATAAAATTCAATGCATATTTTCTAACCCCATACATTTTTGCTTCCCCTTACTTCTTCCACTCTTACAATTCTCTTCTTCTTCCTTGTTATGAAGGCAAAGTTTCACATCTTCTCTCACCTTCTAACTCCTCCATTTGCCTTGCAACCACCTATTACTCTCTCTCATGATTTCACTCGCTCCAAATTCTTTTTCCTTAGCCTCTGGCTCTTTGGATTTCTCTTTCCACAGTACAAACATGGTTTAGTCTCTGAGGGCATCTTTACATGTTCTGTGGGGTGAAGGGAGGGGTGCTTTAACTAGAGTGGCTCCAAGACCCATTCTAATAAAAGTGCTCACAGAGTCATATAGATTCAGCGTCCTGATTCAGTGTCTGTTCCACGAGCTTTAGTTAAAGCACCTCTGCTGCCATTTTGAAGGGCAAGGAAGCTGAATACATGTGACACAGAGGCTGCTGGAGCACACCAATTAGCAAGTTCCAGAAGGCCCAATTAATTGAGCCTGCTCAGATGTGTGCTATAAAACACCTCAGATGTGTGCTAATTAAAACACCTTTTCTTGTTCCCATTTGCCTCTCCAGCTACTGTCCCATCTCTTTAGACTTTTTCACTTGCTAAGGTCATTGAAAGTGCTATATACAACTCTCATTTGAAATACTATATTTTAATACCTCCTAGACTCTTTCCCTTGTCATCTTTGATCAATAACTGTGTCTAGAACCTAACACTCAACATACATCAAAATCCTACTGATTCTAACAGTTATAAGGTCAGTATTTCTTATCAAATCCATACAGCTAAAACAGTTCCAGGTGCTCATCTCCCCTTTCGATTACTGCAACATCCTATTCACAAACTGTGACCCAACTGTTACAGTTTTTATAAAATTTTATAAAGTTCAAACTTAGAACAACATTTGCACAAGTATTAAAGCCAAAATAATTTATTTTTAGTGTAATACACAACACCAAAATTCAGAGACTCTACTAAATTGAGGAATTTACTCTTGATTTTTTTAAAAAAGGTTTAACTAATATTTGGAACGTCTTTAGTATAGAAAATTTCATTATCTTAAGGTCTCCAGAAATAAAATCTCCTCTCTACCCAGTATAGTATGCAAAGGTTTAAGATACATTTGCCTGTGCACCTTGAAGGTCTTGCTGTCTATGTAAAGAAATGTAACCATGCTTAACAAAAACAAATATGAATGATACTTTCTTTGATTAACAGGGATATCCATTTAATAGGAAACTTATTCTAATGATTTACTTTTGTATCATTTTAATATAATTTTGGCTGCATTAAATTCATCACTTCGATATACTTTATAATACAATGAGTAAAAAGCTAAAATTGTTTTGGATACAAAGAGTAATACAAAAACTAAAAAGGTAATATCTAGAGCTTCTCACATATTCAAAATAAATAGAAGAAAGCAAATTTCTTCCTAAAAATGTATTAACACAACTAGTAACAATAATAACCAAAAGTAACCAACAACAACACTAATATCTGCTATTTAGCTCTGCTGTGTCTTCTTCTCTCCTACAGGTCTGAGAAAGGACAGAATGATACCCAAAACCTTGCCTATGTCTATCAGTTGGTCCAATAAAATCTATCACTCACAAGAATTCTTAATATCTATAGGAATTCTGCAAAGAATCAGATGGCATGTACATTACTTAAAGATTAAGTAGAAGGTGCCATCCTTTTATTTTGAGGTCTTAACTACATTAGACAAAATGTTTAATAACTATAAACAACTGAATTGGAATATCTTTCATTAGTAAGCATCACTTTCAACTCTCAAACCTACAAATTTGCAATCAGTCCATAAAATGTGAAAAAATAGTAGCATTTCAATAAGTAACTGAAAAGTGAAAGTAGAATCCTATTTTAAATATATTTTCTCATTAGGGTAATGAATTGTTTTTGCAATCTGTTACAAGTGTTGTTGTGGTTATTGGATACCCTGTTACAGGTTGCAAAACTGATTTATTTAATTGAAAAGGACCAGAAACACAGATTTTATATCTAAAATAATTAATTATGACATAATATGTGACAGAACATTAGCATTAGCACCTGCATCTCAGATACTGCGTAGGCTGGGAATCTTCCCCTCATGGAAATCCAGGAGGGATGGCCCATGCTCAGACTATCCATACAAACATCTCTTCCTCATTTAATTACCCACTCCATAAACAAATATTACATTCACAGAACTATCGTAGGGCTGCTGTGATTTCTTCTTATCCTTACCACTGGAGTCCTATGGTCCAAAAATGCTACACTTACATTCTAAATGTATTTTTCTGTTTGACATGTAAGGTTGTTCTCAGATATATAAAATGTATATGTTTTTGATTTTCTCATACTAAACAGGTCTGACCTCAATACCAAGCAATATTCCACTTGATACTCGCATGATAGACCTACAAAATAACAAAATTAAAGAAGTCAAAGAGAATGATCTCAAAGGACTCACCTCACTTTATGTAAGCTTTTTACTTTTGATTCGGGTAACTGAAAATATGTAGGTAACTGAAAATAATAAAACTAAATGTAATTTGCTACACTTCACCTTGAGCTGGGAGGGCTATGTTGCTCCTTACAGCATCCAGATATTGTGTTGCATACTTCTTTGCTAGGGAAGACTAAAGATGCACTTAAGCTTTTAAGCACTTAAAAAGAAACTTCTCTGAACTTTAAATGACCATAAAGCAAATTTCCTAACATCCTCCCTGTTCCCAAATAAAAAAAAAAAATGTGATTAGCAGCCATAAACTAAATCTCACATTATAATACAATGCAATTTTTCTAGGTACTTTCCAAAAAACACACATTAGCCTAATCATTTTCCCACTGAAATAAATGGTAAAATCCCATGGACATTATACAGAAACAGAATTATGCCAACATTGAATTCAACTGAAAATTCTATCTATGGTTTTAATTTTGAATATCAATGTTAACATTAAAATGATAGAATTATAATAAAGAAGTACTGAGTTAAAATTAAACATATCAGTGTTACAAGACAACTGAATAATCCCTTCCAGTAATGCAAGCAAAGAAGGGGTGACTTCAATGACCGGAATGGCAGTATGATACAAATCTGCTGTGGGGTGAGGAAAGGGAGGAAAATATTTCCTTAACGTATTATTACTGTAGTCCCATCTCCACAGAATATTTTGTCCAAACTTCACTAGGATGGGACTTTGTGGGTCCAGTCAGCTAGGAGGAGCAGGTAACTATGACACCCTGGGGCATGCTACCCAGGTATAGCAGATTCTGCACAAGCTATAACACAAGTTCTAAGTAGCATCTGTAATACAAAGCAGTTATTATAACACCACTTAAAATTACAAGTATTTTCCTAGCTTCTTACACATCTTCTAGTGCAGGGGTGGGCAAAATGCGGCCCAGGGGCTGGATGTGGCCCACCAGGCCATTCTATCTAGCCTGCGGGGCCCCTAAAATATTTAGAAAATTAATATTTATCTGCCCTGGGCTGCCTATCATGCGGCCCTCAATGGCTTGCCAAAACTCAGTAAGTGGCCCTCTGCCCAAAATAATTGCATGCCCCTGTTCTAGTGCATTTGGATTCTCTTAACAGTCTTTTACTCTAGTATGTAGACAAGACAGGCAATTAAAGGAAGAGTTTAGAATGAAAAAACAATATTAACAGAATGCACTATATTCAGAGAGTTGGCTGTGGAAGATAATCCTGCTCTTCTACAGTATCTTTATTAAGTATGTAAAATCTCACTGAACAGTCAGTTGTAGCTACTGTAAAGAAATAAAAAAAACTAAACAAAAGCAAAGATCAAAATTCTCAGACAAGGGTGGGCAATTATTTGGACTTGAGGGCCACTTAAGAAGTCTGGGTGAGCTGTTGCGAGGTGAGGGGGTGTTGACCCAGCCTGACTTGGCAGGGGGAGGAAGCAATTGGTCCCATCTAGCCCCAACCCATCTGCACTGCACCCACCACTGGATGTGCCAGGTCTCCGTGGAGACTGTTTGGGACTCCCGCAGGCAGCACACGCTTGGCCAAGGCAAATGAGATAGCAGTGGTGGGTGTGGAGCAGAGTGACAGCAGCAGCTGGGCAAAGAGCCTGGCTGTCACACCAACCCAGAAGCAGTGGGACCAGCTGCAAACACCACAGCTCGGGCTGCCTCCTGCGCTTGGCCCAGGGGACCCACTTCTGGCCAAAATCCCTTGACAGGCTGGATCTGGCCCACACACCGTATTTTGCCTAACCCTGCTTTAAGAGGAACCATTATGTGCTATATAGTGTCTTTGAATAAAATGGATAACAAATCATTTGTAAAAGTGCCAAATTCTCAAATCAAAGTTAAATAACCAACATAGTCTTTTTTTTTAAAAAAGGACTCTGGTTCATTTGTAATGGAAAACATCCTGTCTTTTGCACAGTTATAATCTTTCCAGTTGCACTTGGTTACTGAACAACAAATTAAAGTTTGGCAGATCTAAATGATTTTTTAAGGAATCTATTCATGAACCTTTTAGCTGTTACAGATTCATCTACAGTAAAGAAAACAGATGTTCTACAGTCTCAGTTTACAAAATTTAGGCATGTATAAAAATTCAGTTCTATTGGTGGTAAGTTCCCATTGGTAGAAATAATTTCAGGAGAAGGAGAAGTGCAGATGTTCAGTCTGCAACAGCTCTTCCATGCTCTTTGCACCTTTCCAAGACCAGGGTGATCCTGGTCTGGGGAAAGCATGAGTTGCTCCAGTTCTTCTGTTCCTGGGGGGACTAGAACTGTTAGGACAAAGCTCCTCGCTGCCTTCTTACGGTAGGGAGTGAGAAGCAGGGAGGGGGCACTACGCTCTGCACTTGACTCCTGATGCCTAGAAGTTGAGTAGAGGAAGAGATGGGACAAAGCCCTGCTGCTTCCTTAGTTCAGGGATTGTGGGGACCTGCCCCCCTCCCTGTACCCTCTCCAAACCATGGTAACCTTGGTTTCTGGAAAGAAAAGGAGCCTTTCCCCATAGCTTCATTGCTCCTGGTTCCCATGACGAATTAAGCCATGACAAAGTGTGGAGATGTTCATTCTCCTAGAAGAAACTCTCCTGGAAATTATTTCTACCTGGGCCATTTTTAGTTAATAGCTGGGCTTCTTTTTTCCAAGAAGGGCCAATTCTGCTCTGGGAAAAAAGCTGGTGTCTGTACACTTGTGGTTTCTACCAAGAGAATGGCAATTTCTCCCAGCAGAAAATGAATGTCTGTAATTGCCTTTGTGTATAAAATGCTGCTTTTGTATCTACAGAGAAATATAGATAATTAACCTTATCTTTAACAGTAAAATTAAGGAGAAACTCATTCATTATTCTGTTTTCTTTATATGTAATTTCTAACTTATTATAACCACAAGTTATAGAGAACAGAAAGAAATGAAAAGCCAATGACAGTTGATACCGAAATGTATACTGATGAAAACTCACGATAAAGTTCGTTTCAATTTTTCAGAGCAGTTAATTTATGATTATTTGGCAAGGTCTAACTGAACAAAGTCTGCTTCCTTGAAGCAATTTGTCAGGGCACTATTAAAAAAAAAAATAAAGCCATGTAATGCAGCCCAATGGCATTTAGATTTTCCTATGAATTACTTCAATTGCTGTCTTTATTTTGGTGGAAAAAGATCAGGTTTTATTTCTCACAAGTACTATGAGCAGACAATAATATTAACAACTATTTGTGAACAGGCTCCGAGGCAATGGAAAGGTACAAATGTATTCATTTCTCTGTCTAGACTATTCAAGTATGATCCAATGCAAAAAAATAATCTCAGCTAGCATATGATTTACTAATCACATTTTGTTTCATGGCATGTCCTCAGCTAATAAAGCAAGGATTTCTGCAAGAGCAGAGAAACCAAGGGCAGAGAGAGATGTTGTAACATATGAAATGGTCCTAAGTATGACAGGGTTGGAAACGTTAAAAAAAGTAGTTTTATTAGCTTCTGGACACACATACAGCCCCTGGTACACCCTAGCTGGAGCACTACAAAAACACTGCTCTTAATTCCTCCCTCCCCTGTCTTCCCGCAAGGTGCAGGGAGCAGAGACAATATCAGAGCTCTCCTGCTGCTCACCTGTGCTCTACTCAAGTACCATTCCCCTGTCAGAACCAGGATACTGGAACCCGCACTCCCATCCCTGAACCGGAGAGGTATGAAGAGAACTGGGGGCTGGAGAGCCAGAACTTTGTCCCCAGCTTTGGTAATGGAGGGATGCAGGGGTGTGATTTTGGCAGTGCAGGGGCCTAGGGGTTATGGCAGGGACCTGGGTACTACTTGGCAACATGCCACTTGTGTGGGAAAAAGGTAGCTCAGCAGCAGCCATGGGGGCATGGTGGCTTACCTTGCTCCAGGTCCAGATCTGGCATCAGCTCAAGTTCCAACAGCAGTGAGAGGACTACCCAGGTCCAGCTACAGTGGGGAGGGGAAGTGGGGGTGCAGGGCTCCATCAGGCTCTGTTGGGGAGAGTGCTCACAGTGTGCTCTGCTCTCCCTCCCTCCCCCTGTGTAGGTGTGTGGGGTGGGAGCATAGAGCACTGTGTAATGCTGAAGGGCCGAGGAGTCCTCCACCACACTTCCTACAGTGGACATGCATAAGGAGCAGTGAAATGCAACAAAATAGTACCTCACACAAATAGGCTCTTTTTTGATACCTTTCAGCTGCTTTTAGCGTCTCAAAGTGCAGGTAGATTTGTACGTCTCACCCTTTGAAGTACTTTAAAGGTGTCTGAACCACTGTAATGGTGAAGTCTATTCACACCTGAAGTGTAAAAGACTAGTCAGAGGAAGACTGTCGTGTTTAAATCTACAGAAAAAAATTCAAGCCTATTTTGGCTGAAGATGATGGTAAATAAGATAAATGAAATTTTTTGTTCTTATGCCCAACATATTTCTTTTAAGTAAACTGTAAGGTTGCAAACCAAAAGGAATGACAGAAACATTTAAAATGCCTTTTAAACATTTCAAAGGGCCAGCTGTAAAATGTACATACTATTTGTAATATTACGCAGCAGCTGAAGCACTCCAATATAATACCTCTTGAAATGAAGTAATACTTTGAAGTGTTTCACTTCTTGTTATGTATGTACAGAACTAGGGAACACATAGGTCCTCCAGAATCCCACAATGCTCTTCCATGAAGGGAGGCAGTAGGAAGAAGAGTTGTGTTGACAGTCTGGCAGACAATCCTGTGAATCCAGTGCTCAGGGGTCTAGTGGCTCAGGGGCTGGGTGTCCACATCCCCATCCCCCACAACTACTCCTCCAGACCCTTACTTATCCCTGTATACCTTGCCCCACACCCAAACCACTCTACCTCCCGATTTCAGCAAGGGGGGGCGGGGAGGGTGGAGAAGTTCAAGAGATGGGGACTGCAGAGCTGGAATATGGGCTGCAGGGAACCCCTTCTATCCACAGACCCTCACCACACCACTGCTGACCTCTCTGCTCTATTGAGAAATATCTTCCACTTCCTGTAGCGTTAAGGGGCTTTGAGGGGTTCTAAGCATGTTCCCCAGCTGAAACATTACCATTTTCAAATGTTTCCAAAGTCACGACTCTTAGAAATCATTAAAAATAATGTTAGTCAACACCTTACAATTATATTAACCTCCTCTCTAATATCACTATTGAGATATAAGTGATTAGAAGCTTTAAAAAGTACTTTAAATTAATACAGCAGGAAAGAAGTATTTTCCTTATGATAATTTCCAAGTTTTATTCTACATACTGGAAAATCACTAACTTTTACAATAATTGATTTAAACATAAGTGGAGGACTTGCAATAGTACACGATTTAACCCTTAAATTCTTAAGAATGCTACCCTGCTCCTACTTTTATTGATTTTTCACAGAACTATCACCCACATTTCTCAGCATCCATAAAGTATACTTACTGCATCTTAACAGTAGTGTTAACATCTTAACATAATGTTAATTTGCAATTCAACTTAATTAAAATATACCAGTTCAGTTTCAGAAATGTAATTGTATGATACTGATATATTGATTTTATATACACACACACACACACACACACACACACAAGGAAAGATGTTCTTCCCTTCCTACCGTCAACTGGAAAACCTAAATGGAGCCAGTTTGCCAGCTCAAAATGCACTTGGGCACTAACTAGAAAATTAATCCAACTCTTTCCACATTATTTGCAGTCCCCAACTGTACTTAAACTGGTTCACATCTTCAAAAGTGTGACTAAGACATTGTTTGCTTTATTAAAAAAAAGCAAAGCATACAATGCAACATTGAACATGCCATGTTACTTAGGAAAGTAAGCACTAAAATAAAAAAAATAAAAAAATCGGTATAATGAAAAAAGTATAAATAACAATAACATTAACAATCAAGAGAATTACAAAACTAGTTTCCCTGTCACCATCAAGAACATTTTGTGGTCCCAATACCACTTTCATTCATTCAGACCTATGTTTTTATGATTAAGCAAAATATAGAAAATATATGAATTTTTTAATACAAAAAATCATTTTATAGCAAGTAGCAAAATTCATTTACTAACATAGTAATTCATTCAGTTATTAGGACTAAGTTCATATTTTCCAAATAAATATGTAATTACTAAAGTATCCTAAATTAAAAATGCATGATCATAAAATTACAAAATAAATTTTTGTGTTTTTTTAATGTTACTTTTCAAATTCTTCTTAGGCACTTGCTTTGAACAACAACAAAATATCCAAGATCCACCCCAAAGCCTTTCAATCAACAAAAAAACTGCGGCGACTGTATCTATCCCATAATCAGCTAACTGAGATCCCAGACAACCTGCCAAAATCTTTAGCAGAGCTAAGAATTCATGCCAACAAGGTTAAAAAAATACACAAGGAAGCATTTAAAGGAATGAAGTCTTTACATGTTTTGGGTAAGTCTGTCTTACAAGCTTAGCTAGCTACATGTCACTATATTATTTTAGTACTGCATTAAGCCTTATGGTAAAAGTACAAGTAACCATAACCTAGAAAGCACAACTATTCCCACTACAGAACTCCAAAATGAAAGTTTTATATATTTATTTGTTTATTTCGACTGACATCCCACCCTTCCCAACAAAGGTCCAGGGCATCCTGCAGTAAAAAGGCAGAATAACTTCTAAAACAGAAGAATTAACCAAAGAACAAAACATCTTAAAAGTGAAACTAGAGGATCAACATAAAACAGAAAGCCCCTAACCAGTATCTTAGCCCAGCTAGATTTGCTATTTGCCCAAATATAAAGGTCTGGGTTCAGAAAGAGATGTCTCCAGATTTAAAATATTAATGGCTTTGTGAAGCAGAAAGCTTAGGTTCAGCTGCAAGCTCAAAAAGTTTGCTCTTCATATGACAACATTTTTAATTTTTACTTTCTATGAATGTGTCAAACTTGTCCACAGAACACCCCCAAAGCCCCAACTCCCCACTGTCCCACTGCTTGTTCCAAGGAACAGCCAAGGTTTCCCGTCACATAACTCCTTATCCCCACAAGCCTCAGCCCCACTGCCATTATACTGAACCTTCTAGCTCAGTGGTCTCCAACCTTTTTAAGGTGAAGATCATTTCTTTAAATAAAGTGCAATCCAGGATCTACTGCACCCCCCGCCCCCCAAGCAGGCCAGTCTATGGGAGGTGGGGGGGAAGATTGAGGCTCCCACAGTGAGGGAAGGATTGGGACAGGGGTGAGTGGGGCACTGGCCAGGAAAGGGTCAGAGCCTGGGCAGCTTGCCCCGGTGCCGGAGTGGGGGGCTCCCACCGCTGCATGCATCTCAGCAGACACCCGGGAGGCATGTGCCATGTGCCTCCTGATGCGTGTGTGGGGCAAGGAGGCTGCTGCTGCACACTGAAATTTGCGCCCCCAGCCCCGGTCGCAGGGGATGCAGAGGGGGATCATCCCAATCGCCCAGCCCCGGCTCAGCACAGCCACATGCATCCCACCACTCATACATCCCGCCACTCCTGGACTGCATCTCGGCTGCTCTCCACATGCGTCCCACCAGTCCTGATCAAGGAATCTCTGACAGTAGATCTCAGTCTGGGGGGCGGGGGGGCGGCTAGCCAATCAACTGTTATGGGCTTCCCGATTGACAAGTTGGTGACCACTGTTCTAGCTGAAGCAGGGGAATTTCTGGCATCTCTAGATGGATTTGAGCTGTGAAAGAAATGTTGGGTTTCCCCTTTCCACCGAATGGGTAGCCTGGAATATCATTTGCCCAGAGATGCAATCATTAAGGGGACAAACAATAAAAGGATTTATTATATAAGAGCAAAGAATTATACAAAAAACCCCAAAACCTGACCATAAGTTTGAAGACAAAACAAAAAGATTCTTACAAGCCTGAGACAAACCAGAGACCCTCTCTATCTCCAAGACAGCCTCCTTCCCAATCCCCCACCTCCACTTTCCAAATTCCTCCTGCATTTCAGAAATCCTCAGAAATTTCTCTCCCTGGGACACCTCCTAGTTCTTTAACTGATGGGTCATTTCTCTCAGATGCCTATGCTATTAGGCAGTTGTTTTTCCCATTACAAGACGACAATAACTTGTATGCTCATCCCACCAGTGGCCCTTTCTTTTTGTGACTGGGAGTGGCATTTGTCCATGCCCTAGTATGAAAATAGTAAGATATATTTAGCAGTCACACCTACTCTCTTTTCCTTAATTATGTATTCCTCAGTCCCTTTGATTAAACTGGGACCAAAATCATAAAGACGTATACAGATAGCATAACATAATTTATATAATGATAAAATCAACATGAATGGATACCACGTAACACCAGCTTTCCAGTAAGTTGTATCAGTGAAACAAGCACAAAAAAATCTATGTGACACCCCACAAATCCCCCAAGATCTGATAGGGTTTGTGGCAGAAGATGATCCGTAGGAATCTAGGTTTTCCATTTGCCACAGAAAAATGTGGCCAAATGTAGATTTTCTCCTTTAAAGGAGAAAATCATGGGAAATAGCAGGTTTCCATTTACAGGCTGGCAGAGTACCAGACTCGATATTTAATGAGCAGTTTGTAGAACAGGGGCATGTGGGTTGGGAACAAGGGACACCAGCAGGACTGAGGGGATAAGGGATTGTGGATTAAAAGTGAGGGGCAATGGTATGAGCAGGGCACGGCATCAGCAGATCAAGGTTGCTCAATGCCACAAAGCAGGGGTGACAGTTGCAGCTGAACCCACATCCTGGTGCGTGAAGGGGGCACAGGGAACTCTGATTTTCCATGATTAAAAAACCAAAATCAAATGCCAAAATATATGTGAATGTATTTTATTATCATGATTGAGGCACTGGTAGGCTTCCAAATTGCTTTTAAATTGTAAATATATCAATAATACATTGTGTTCAACTGATATAGATATAGAGGTGTCCCATTTTAATTGCAGAAAAACATGGATTTTGTTGGGGGGGGGGTTTAAATCAGAGAATTTTGGGTTTTTATCAGAGAACATGGGATTTTAAACAGAGAAAGCCAGGATCCCTGGTTATTAGTAAATGTATGAGATCACATAGGACAGATATTTCATTCCATGAAGCAATGGAAAACTAACAAAACTCTGATTTATTAAATAAGTAAATGTAAGTAGGTGCAAAAAACATTATATTAAATTTAATTACTGTCAAATTTTGCTTTCCATATGTAGCTTTTGATAACATCTCCCCTACATAGTTCAGAGGTATCCTTTCTGTGGAACATCTGACATAAAATCACCAATTAAGGGACTAGTATGTCCCTTACCTGATTTAAGTCCCTATCTACCAATTTGTAGTTGTTAGGTAGGGAAGGTTTTTGTAATTCTGCAAGGCAAAAAACATGCAGTCCTTACTCAGACAACTGTTAGACATCCATCACATGCCCCTCCATAAAGACAAGTAGACAGAACCAACAGCTACATTAGCCAATCTATGACAGTTCCTGAAAACAGAAATCATCTAAAAATTCCACTTGGAATCCATGATCACACTGGATGCATCTACATGACACACTTAATGTAGAATTGCTTAATTAGCTCTGCAGTAAAGCATGACCAGTCTACATATAGAGAGCTATTAGGCTGAAGTAAACTAAAAAGTCTGCCATATACAAGTACTATCCTTAGGGAGAGTTATTTACTTTGATGCAACACACATCTAAATCAGTGGTCTCCAAGCTTTTTTGATCGTGCACCCCATCAGTAAAACATTTTTGAGCACACACCCCCAATATATGTATATTTATATAAATATACATATAAATAGAAGTTCTAATATTTTCTTCCTGTACCCCAATGGATCGTCTTGCGCACCCCACTTTGGAGACCACTGGTCTAGACAATGATGGAGCTGGCTGGAGCATGAGGATGTTTCAGTGTGGGGACTGCCTGCCAGCTAGCCCCACACTGAAACACCCTCATGCCCCCATCAGCCCCTCTGCAGCATGTTGAGCTGAGTCAGAGCAGTCCTGGGCTGGCTGACTGACCCCCTGCCAGCTGGGGCTGCACCACCCTAGTTCAACATGCTGCCGTCCCTGGTGCATATGTAAACGCTGCAACCAGGAGGAATAAACTCCATATAACAAGCTCGCCACAGTTTATTGCCTCGCATTCATATTCACGTGTAGACGTGCCCAGTCAGAGCATTCCGTGGATCTCCAGCCACTGTTGCAGTTTAGAGTTCAGTTGAATGTGGACTTGACATTTAATGAGCAATACGCAGACATTTTGCAATACCAGAACTATTTCCCCTGAGTTAAAGTCTGAAGGTATTTTTCTTTAATCATGTAGTCTACGCTAATTTTTTTTATTATGACTGGTTAGGTTATTTAAAGATTACAGAGGAAAGCAGTTATAAATTAATAAATGCTATGTAAACAGACAACTAGAAATGCTGTAAAATGTTCAGTGGCAACCGTCAAGCCTCCTGGATCATGGTGTACACATAAGGTCCACCTAGACCTTCAATGCATATGCTTGGGCAGGAATTTTTGGAGGAGTGGAGGCTGCCCAGACCTTCCACCCTCCCTTTAGGTCACCAAGACAGAATCCAAACACCAGACTGAGTCCAGATGTTTGGTGCCTCCATGGTTGTAATTGTATAAGTGTCTGGGAATCTAACCCAGGTCTCCTGTGTGGTAGACAAGGATTCTATTACTGAATCACAGGGGACTCCTGGTATAAAATATGTAGCAATTATAATATCATTTCTTTTACAGAAATGAGTGCAAATCCTCTGGACAATGCTGGAATAGAGCCAGGAGCTTTTGAAGGAGTGACAGTCTATCACATAAGAATTGCAGAAGCTAAATTAACCTCAGTTCCTAAAGGTATGGGGTATATTATCTAATAAGGACCACAAATTACTTTCTCAGTCTTTCAGGTGTATGAATGTAACACATATCAACAATACCAACCATTTAAATAACGTCTATAATTTTCTGTAAATTTCTATAGCAAGACTTATGTTACATTCAGGATCATTTTTTTTCATTTCCGAGATTTTGTTCATTTCCTGAGATTTTGTTCCTTTTTCTCCACTCCCTCAGAAACATTCTTGTGTCCCTCCTAGCTCCTGCTCCCATATTCCCTCTTATCACCTTGTTTCACCATACTCTCCTCTCTTGGTATCCAGAAAGAATCAGTACTCTCACTGTCCAATCCTACCTAAATGATGCATACCAGCTTCCTTTACATCAAGAACCAAAAACAAATTAATAGAAGCTGAAGAACTGACAGTAAGAGGTCGTGCACTCTAGCTCAGAGAACCAACCTGGCTAAAACTACAAACAAACTGCAACCCTTTCTATCAAATGTCCTCAGGAAGCCTTTCCTAAATGCTTAAGAAGCAAGCAGATCTCAGAACACCAGAGAATTATGAAAGGCCACAACAAACACAGTATTCCTGACTCCTTTACACTCTTCAAGTGGCATATGTCAGTTTTACAACTTTCATTTTTTGTCTTACAATCTGTACCAGCTTTGTAGCTCCAAAGTGCTGTACAACAGAACTAAAACTGCTTTGGCACTCAATATACAGTCAATATCAAAGTAACTCATTGTTTTGATGAGGTAGCTTAAATATAGGCAGATTTAATATATGGTATTTACCCAATTGTATTTACCCAAATCCAAGATGACTTCAAATTTAAGACACCCCCCTCTCCCCAGTATTTAAATTCTATATATGGATGTCACGGGATGGGCACCGCTCTGTGCTCTCTTCCCACTCTGAAGCTCATCTTGCCCAAAGTTCACCTCCTTTCTAGTGCCTACCACGTAATATATTTCCTTAGGTGTTATTTAAGAATGGAGGCTGCTTACAGCTCACGATGATGTTAATGTACTCTGCAGTCTCTCAATTTCAATTCTCTTGTCACCCAGTCCAGAGATCTTAGGCCTCTCTACTCCACTGTCTCTCACCTTTTTGCCTCTGTCTGCAGGACTGCTGCGCCGCCCTGCACTTCTCTGGGCTCACTCTGCCTTCATTGCTCACTGAGCTTGCTCGAGCCCCTTACAGAGCCCCATGTTCTGTTGCTTTCTCTCTGTATCTGAGTCTGTTCTGGCACTTGTGGGAACTTTTGCTTCACTCCTTTTCTAGTTCCCCCGGTCCTCCGGGTTAACTAAACGAAGTCAGGTCATCTTGGCTTTCACAAAGGCAAATACATTCCCCTGCACTAGGGTAACTATGATGTTCTGTCTCTTGTACTCAGATTTTAGTCTCCATCTCTTTAAAGCTTTAATTCTTCCCCCATCTACCGGCTTCAGGGTAACTCCTTAAGTCTCTTCCTGCTACAATCCTAGCTGTTCCATCTCCCCAGCAGGTACGCTTGCTTCCTAATAGTCATTCCTTCTGGTCTCCAGAGCCCTTTTCCTTCCCTTCTTTGGGTTTGTGTGTCTGACTGTGTCAGCCAGAGTGGGGCTGCTAATTACTCTTCCCAGGTATCCCTCCTCATCACAGCTGGCCTCTTGGTTACCTCCTCCCTCCAGCCTGTTAGTTCCCATAGCATTCTGGTGTGTCGGCTTGCTTTCAGGGCTAGGTTTCAGGGTTCTATCCCTCATTCCCTGCCACAATAGAAAATTATAGTTTGTTATAATTGCCCATGTATCAAATCCTCCCAGCCCCTAACAACTATAAAACTATGAAGATTGTCTTAAATTCCCCGACTGAGGTGGTGGGAAAAGCAGCAGTGGGAGGAAGGGGGACCTCTGCCTTTTGCTTTACCTGCCTGGCCTCTTACACCTGTGTCTATGCCTCCACCATGTGCCCCACTGCCAGCTGCCCATCCAGGCCTGTGCTTGTCCCCACCCACCCTTGCCTGTGCCTGCCCCCCATCTCACTGCTGTTGGTATATCAACAAAGCCAT